GCCAGCATGCCCAGCTAATTTTTTGTATTTTTAGTAGAGACGGGGTTTGACCATGTTGACCAGGATGGTCTCAATCTCTTGACCTCGTGATCCACCCGCCTCGGCCTCCCAAAGTGCTGGGATTACAGGCTTGAGCCACCACTCCCGGCGGTATTGTATTTTTGTACAATGCCATGGGGCCAGAGACTCCTCAGAGTTTTCAAATTCCAATTGTGCATTGCTGGTATATAGGAAAACAATGGTTGTTTCCAAATTTCTCTGTTATCTTGATATTCCTCTGATTGTTTATTAGTTGCACGAGTATTTCCTTTTCTTTTTAAATTTTTTTTTGGTCAATTCTTCGGGATTTTCTTCTCTTTTCTTTTCTTTTTTTTTGAGATGGATTTTGCTCTTGTTGCCCAGGCTAGAGTGCAATGACACAATCTTGGCTCTCCCCAACCTCTGCCTCCTGGGTTCAAGTGATTCACCTGCCTCAGCATCCCAAATAGCTGGGATTACAGGCATGGACCACCACGCCTGGCTAATTTTGCATTTTTAGTGGAGACAGGGTTTGTCCATGTTGGTCAGGCTGGTCTCAAACTCCCGACCTCAGGTGAACCATTCGCTTCAGCCTCCCAAAGTGCTGGAATTACAGGTGTGAGCCACCCTGCCCAGCCAATTCTTTGCGATTTTCCACATAGAAATAGTGTCATCTGCAGACAAGTACAGTTTTATTTCTTCCCTCCTGGTCTCAATACCTTCTATTTACTTTTCCTGTTTTATTCCATTAGTGAGGACATCTAGGATGAAGATGAATAGCAGTGGTGAGAGGAGGCATCCTTACCTTGTTCCTGATTTTAGTGGGAAAGCATCTAGATATCAAAATGAAGTATAATTTACCTTTAGCTTCTTTTTAGAGGTTATCAAGTGGGAGAAATTTGCTTCTATCTGCTATTAGGTTTGTGGACCTGAACATGCCACCTAATCATTGCTTTTCTCTTTCCGTAAAAAAAAAAAAAATCAGGTTGGTTGGTTCTGACTGATCACCTGTATTACGGACCATCTGTGTGATTATGGGGAAAAGTTCAGGACACCAGCAACCTACATTGGATGGGACCACCTCTGACTCCAGTATTGCCACTCAGGTCATTTTGTCTAAGACCCTGGTTGGAACCAACAGCCTTATGATCTCAAGATTATCCCTCTGCTACGCTGGTAAGCAGCAGTACTACAGAAAACAACTTAGGCCCCCTGGCTACTTGTTTTGCTTTGAGAGAACAGTTGAGTTACATCCTCTCATCCTTTGGAAAGGATGAATGCGCCTTCGTTTCTTTCCTCATCAGTGCCTGACCATGGGGTACCAAGGATGTGCATTTTGATACCTTTGGGGGTCCAAGAGAATATACATGGAACAAGAGAAGCAAGAGGATAGGAAACCAGCAAGGGCACTACCCTTACCAATGCAACAACTCTTCTTAAGCAACTGAGGTGTCATGCTTAATTATCCCGAAGGTGGAGGTCTCTCTCCTTTCTGCAGAGTTCACAAAGAACCATCTCTGGGTCTCACCTGGTGGTGTACAATCATGAACAACATCTCCTGGGCTACTCAAAGCATCCAGTGATGGAGACCAAGCTAGATGGAGTGACCACAGAGCTCTAGCCTGACCCTTGGTAATCAGGACTGAAGTGTTGACTGCTTAAGGTGCTAGGTTGTCACTGCTTTTACAGGTAGGTGACGCAGACTCTGCCTGCCAAAAGTAGGCCAAATCTGAGGACAAGTATGCTGGTGGTGCATAGTCAATTAACAATTGTGGTTTATGGGGTGAGAATGTTTTTGGATGGGAAGAGATGACAACACCTAATAAAGACCAAAAAGTGCTGTGCAGGCCAAAGTGCAGACCAACCGCAAGTGGTGGTTCTGTTCCAAACGGCCTTCCCTGTATCATGCGACCAATTAGTTAACCAAAAGCAGCTAAAGCAGAGAAGATAGCCTCAGTTATGGTTGGTCTGTCCTCTTTGTGATACCAGTTGTTCCAATAGCCTCCCACTCACCCCACTGGTGAGAGGGGAATTAGGGCCCTAGGGCTATTTAGATAGCCCAACACATGATATCCATCACTGGACAAAGCCAATTGACAGCAGTTTATTAGTCATACATATTCACAGCCCAGATGTGGAGGATACCATGAATCATGCAGATCCACAAAGAAAATGCATTTGGGAGCAGAGGGCCCAAACATGGCTGTGGGAAACAGGCTTTGTAGTATCAAAAGGGTAAGGTGCTCCTTGGTTACCCTGAGAGGATGTGATTCGCTTCTTTGAATAATGTGTGGGTTGGCAGGGATCTGAAACCCCTTATACAAGAGACAAAGACTATATAACTATGCTTTAATAGTATAAAACTATATTATATAGTATAGTGTAATAGTAATTATATATTTTAGTTATATATAACATATACCAGTTATGTATAATAACTACAATTATATAACATTTTGCAATATATTACATACTATATACACAAATATATCTAAAAATATGTATGTAAACACACTATAGCTTATACTAGATAATGCTGTACTATATAGTAGAAAATGGTCCACAAATATCTCTTCTGAATATAGCTGCAAAGGCCCAACAAAATGCCAGCAAATTGAATCTAGCAATATATAAAAAGACCTATTTAACATGACCAAGTTGGACTGAACTCAGAAAAGCAATGTTGGTTTCACATATAAATATGTACTAATATACCATATTAACAGAATAAGGGCTCTATTATCATACGATCATCCCAAAAGGTGCAGAAAATGACTATTTTTTTTAGACAGGGTCTTGTTCTGTCACCCAGGCTGAATTACAGTAGTATAATCATAGCTCACTGCAACCTTGAACTCCTGAGCTCAAGTGATCCTCCCACCTCAGCCTCCCAAGTAGCTAGGGCTACAGGCATGCACCACAACACTCAGCTAATTTTTTTTGAGAAGGAGTCTCACTCTGTTGCCAGGCTAGAGTACAGTAGCATGATCTGCTTATGGTAACCTCCAACTCCCTGGTTCAAGCAATTCTCCTGCCTCAGCCTCTGGAGTAGCTGGTATTATAGGCATGCACCACCACGCCCAGCTAATTTTTTTGTATTTTTAGTAGAGATAGGGTTTCCCCATGTTGGCCAGGATGGTGTTGATCTCCTGACCTCATGATCCACCCACCTAGGCCTCCCAAAATGCTGATATTACAGGCATGAACCACCGTACCCAGCCCACTCAGCTAATCTTTAAATTTTTTTATAGAGATGAGGTCTTGCTATATTGCCCAGGCTGATCTGAAACTCCTGGCCTCATTACAGATCCTCCTGCCTCAGCCTCCCAAGGTGTTGGAATTATAGGCATGGCTCATGTCTGGCTAGATAATGAATATGACAAAGGTCAACACCACTTTACAATGAAAACACTCAATAGAGTACAAATAGGAAGGAACTTTCTCAACCTGCTATAAGGCAGCTCTGAGAAACTCATAGCTAAAATCATACTTGATGGTGAAAGATTGAATGCTTTTTATCTTAGATCAGGAACAAAACAAGAGTGTTTGCTTTCATCACTTCTATTTAACATGTTAAAGAAGGTGCTACCAGGGCAATTAGGTAAGATAATGAAATGAAAGCACTTCAGATATTAAAGGGCATACATACATAACTCCCCAGGCAGACATACAAGATCACCAGACTTTATCACCGCACATACAGGTGGACAAACCCAGACACAGACACACAAACTTACAAACCCTCAGTGATTAAAGACCCAGAGACACCATCAGCCCAAGCCCTCTGCAATGTTCCCCAGCTTCCTTTCCCTCCTTAGAACTAACCACCATCTGACACATCATGTAATTTTGTTTGTATCTCATTTCTTGTCTCCTAGAATTTCAACTTCAAGGGAACACTATTAGCTTAGGTTTGCTCACTATGTAACCTACAAAAGGACTTGTTACATACAAGAGTTTAATACACATTGAATTACTGGAGCTCTCTGACACACACACACACACACACACACACACACACACCCCTCATTTAGGGCTACATCCACTTGATCTTAAGAGTGAATTGTTCTCACCTCCATCCCATGTGGCAGAAAAAGTATATAAGCACTGTAAAACAAATTTTAAAATAAGTTTTAAAATATAAATATTGTGTAAGTATATAATTATATAAACCTTGCAATGTTCTTCTAAGTTTAAAGTTCTTGGCTGGGCATGGTGGCTCATGCTACCTGTAATCCCAGAATTTTAGGAGGCTGAGGCAGATGTATCACTTGAGCTCAAGAGTTTAAGACCAGCCTGGGCAACATGGCAAAAGCCCATCTCTATGAAAAAAAGAACAACAACAACAAAAAAGTCAGGTGTGCTGGAGTGCACCTGTAGTCCCAGCTACTTGGAAGGCTGAAGTGGGAGGATTGCTTGATCCCAGGAGGTGGAGGTTGCAACTAAGCCGAGATTGCACTACTGTACTCCAGCCTGGGTGACAGAGCAAGACCCTGTCTCAACAACAACAACAAAAACTTTTTGGGTAGTGTCCAGTACAGGTGGCACACATTAGGACATCAAAACCCAGAGAGTCCACGATTCTGAGTTGCATGAGTTTGGGTAAGACCCTGTGCTCTGTGTTTAACTTTCTTCATTTGAAAGATGGGAGAAGTGATTGGCTGGGCAATCAAATGAGATACTCATCATTATGAAATCACAGTGCTAAGTGCTAACGTAAGTTATCACTGAAAAAATGGACAGAGATTTTGTTTTCTTCGGTCAAATTTGGTAAGACACAAATATTTACTTTTTCTCCCTCGTCCCAAACATATGAATACCAAATTGAGATCTGGGGGCTTTCTGGATCATTGAAACAAAAAGATTCAAACTACTCCTCTTATAAGAAGGCATTAAATTTTTCCTTATATGATGACACCAGATATTCTTCCTTTCCACTACATCAGGCTGTTAAGCAAAATTATTCCCTGTCTGCAACTCACCTCCATTATTCCTTGAAAACTGCCATCAGATCCACACATCTTTTGGGTGGTGCATATTGGGTCTCTCAATCTGTACAACAGCAAAATAATCATGCCAAATATCCAAGGCAATTTAAGAATCCTTAAATGACATTAAACAGACATGTAAACATCACCAACACCTGTGGCCCAAATCAATAGGAAATCTCAAATCCAAAATACTCATGTCCAAACTCATGATCACACTTCACATGTCTCAAAATTTTTATCAATTATAAAAATAAAGATGAACCGTATCTCTGCCTTTGTTTATGGGGAATCCTTACTGCTCATCCCAGGGATGTAGGACTGTATTGTTCCCCAGTATACATCAAACCTGAGCAGTTCCTGAGTGTTTAAGATAAGTTAGATAATGGAAACAAATGATCACTGACAACATTCTCACTCATGGAGGTCCCTACCTTCCAAAGCTAAGGTATCAAACCAACACAACCATAGCTTCTCTATTAATCTCACAAGCTGGTTGTTATTTCATTTCCTTCAAAGATCTTTTTTTTTTTTTTTTTCTGAGATGGAGTCTGTCTCACTTTGTCACCCAGGCTGGAGTGCAATGGCACAATCTTGGCTCACTGCAATCCCTGCTTCCCGGGATCAAGCAATTCTCCTGCCTAAGCCTCCCGAGTAGTTGGGATTACAGGCACCCACCACCGTGCCCAGCTAATTTTTGTATTTTTAGTTGAGACAGGGTTTCGCATGTTGGTCAGGCTGGTCTCAACCTCCTGACCTCAAGTGATCTGCCCACCTCAGCTTTCCAAAGTGCTGGGATTACAGGCGTGAACCACTGCGCCCAGCCCTTCCTTCAGAGATCTTAATTGCATCTTAAAAACCAAATCCTTACCTTTTGTTACCGTCTCTCTTTTCCCATAATTATAAGCATCAGGAAGGCAAGAACTTGTTTCATGTTTCTGTACCCAAAGCCTAGAATGTCTTTATCATTTTTGCTGAACTGTGTATGTTTTGAAACTACAATGCCAGGTCTATGAGAGCTGTTAAAAAAAATTGGCATGAAGAGCAAGATGGCTTGATTTAACAGTGATTCTGTCTTTGTACCTTGCTAGATTTGTGGTCTCTGAAAACTTATCTACACTTACAGGACTCTGTTAGTACACAAAGGAGGAAAAGAAAGTATTATATAGTTTGCTAAAGACTAAGTGAACTTACATATTTTAACTGAGATATTTCGTTGAAAACATTCACCAATACACCATAAGAAATATTTCTATGCTTAGATAATAAAGGTTAAGACCAGTTCCACAGGACTAGGATCTGACCTCACACTCAGGTAAAGCCAAGTCTTATCCTGTTGAAAGGAAAAATGTCACACTTCCTTCATCAGACAAAGCTACTGAGCAACCATGATGGATCAAAACAAAAACAAGGACATTCTGTAACCATGACTCTAAAAATGATAAAAGAGAACAGAGTTGAAGCCATTAAAATGACCAAAATTGCCCTCTATTCACTAATCTCAGTGAGTGGTTTCCTAGGAATTCGGTTTAGCTCTACTTCATTCTTCCTGCCTCTAGATAAGAATTACGAGTACCAGTGATACAATTCAGTTCATCTCACAGCATGCAACACACAGAAGTCTCAGTTTGGGGATTAGCAATCAAGTCACCTAACAAAAATCCAAATCCAAAAATAAGTCCTTTTAAGCACCCTCTTTTTTTTTTGAGATGGAGTCTTGCTCTGTCACCCGGGCTGGAGTGCAGTGATGTGACCTTGGCTCATGGCAACCTCTGCCTCCCGAGTTTAAGCAATTCTCTAGCTCAGCCTTCTGAGTAGCTAGGATGATAGGAGCACACTACCACGCCCAGCTAATTTTTGTACTTTTAGTAGAGACAGGGTTTTACCATGTTGGTCAGGCTGGTCTGAAACTCCTGACCTCATGATCTGCCCACTTAGGCCTCCTGAAGCACTGGGATTACAGGTATGAGCCACCACGCCCGGCCATCACTCCTCTCCTGACAACAGGTGTGATCCTGGTGATCTTTGGAAAAAAGGCACTGAAACCACCATGATTTAAGCCTTTGGTATTACTAATGCATGAGAAATTGGTTTTGTGGGAAAAAGTAATAACTATATTAAGAATAAAAAATTAAAAATTCCTAGCCAGGGGCAGTGGCTCACACCTATAATCCCAGCACTTTGGGAGGCCGAGGCAGGTGGATCACAAGGTCAAGAGATCAACACCATCCTGGCCAACATGGTGAAACCCCATCTCTACTAAAAATATAAAAATTAGCTGGATATGGAGGCACATGCCTGTAGTCCCAGCTACTTGGGAGGCTGAGGCAGGAGAATCACTTGAACCCGGGAGGCAGAGGTTGCAGTGAGCTGAGATTGCACCATTGCACTCTAGCCTGGTGACAGAGTGAGACTCTTGTCTCAAAAAAATTGTTTTAATTCCTAAGGATGCACTGGTACAGTGGTGAAAAATAAAAAATAAATTCCTAAGGAAAATACTTGACCTTATATGCACATAATATTGACTCAGAATATATGAGGATTAACTCAATAAACTTAAAAACTTAATCTGAAAATCTATAATTGCAATGGAATATTTAATATATACTTGCACAAGAGACAATTGATAGCATACAAGTTATTTTAAAACAGTTAATAAAATATTTCTAAGAAATATCTACGAAAGCTTTTGTTCAATAAAAACAGACATAGTTTTTAATCACATACAATGAAACAAAACTGAAAGTATAATGAGATTACATTCACCTGTAATAAAACACCGACAGTTAGGAAGGTGCTTATTCTTACGCTGCAGGACTGGGTAAGTGCATTCATGTGCAGTGCAGTAGAGGAACAAACACCCATGCAGTTCTTTTTGAATTCACCACTGTAGTTGTCTTGGTGGAATCAGAAACATATAGTCACTGGTACTGTAAACAAAACATGGTGTTTATTACATATACCTTTGATAAATTCAACCTAGAGATGAGGTGAGTCAGAGCATCAGAGAATATTCCCAACCTTAAGAGTCTAAATAGTTGCCTGGTGGACACATTAGAGTTTCTAGGAAAATCCAAACTGCAGTGCATATCTGAGAAATTTTGGAGGCATTCTGTGGAAAACCAAGTCTTTGAAAATATGGCAGTTGGGGCCAGGCACAGTGGCTCACACCTGTAATCTCAGCCTTTTAGGAGGCGAAGGTGGACGGATCACGAGGTCAGGAGTTTGAGACCAGCCAGGCCAACATGGTGAAACCCTGTATCTACTAAAAATACAAAAAAATTTAGCTGGGCATGGTGGCAGGCGCCTAGAATCCCAGCTACTTGGGAGGAGACAGGACAACTGCTTGAACCTGGGAGGCAGAGGTTGCAGTGAGGCAAGATTGTGTCACTGCACCCCAGCCTGGGCAACAGAGCAAGACTCCATCTCAGAAAAAAAAGAAAGAAAATACAGCAGTTGGCTGGGCGTGGTGGCTCATGCCTGTAATCCAAGCACTTTGGAGGCCAAGGTGGGCGGATCACCTGAGGTTGGGAGTTCAAGACCAGCCTGACCAACACGGTGAAACCCCATCTTTAAAAAAATAAAAATAAAAAAATAGGTGGGGCACAGTGACTCACGCCTGTAATCCCAGCACTTTGGAAGGCCAAGGTGGGTGGATCACGAGGTCCAGATATCAAGACCATCCTGGTCAACATGGTGAAACCCCGTCTCTACTAAAAATACAAAAAATTAGCTTGGCATGGTGGCACGTGCCTGTAATCCCACCTACTCAGGAGGCTGAGTCGGGAGAATTGCCTGAACCCAGGAGGCGGAGGTTGCAGTGAGCCGAGATTGCGCCATTGCACTACAGCCTGGTTAACAAGAGCGAAACTCCGTCTCAAAAAAATAAGAAGAAAAAAATTAAAAAGAAAAAAGAAAATATGGCAGTCAAGCAGTTAGCGGTGGTTCTAAGAATACTCTCAATCAGCAGGGCAAAGGATCGGGAAAATGTGGTGGAAACAGGTGTCCCTGAAGCTCCCATGCATCCATCTGTCTCCACATACAGTGGCTATAAAACCTGACTAATGCTTTCTTCACTTCTGCCTTCCATATCTCCTGCAAGTAGGCTATTAGTGAATTATATATGGAGCCATAAAAGGAAATAGAAAACATAGGTCAAAACATTACTCATGTTAACACAATCCAGGACAGCCATTTCCAGCTATAGAACCATATATATATGGTCCTGTCTCAGGTCTCTCTTATTATTGCAAAGTCTATTATCCAAATCACAGCCAGAAGGAATTACAAATAGCAAAGAACAGTAGATGAAAATAATAATTCCAATGAGAGAGTCTACTATATGATAAATTTTGCATACTCAAAAATTTATTATGATTATTTCTTATCATGAAAAAATAGAAAAAAGGATACTCTGCCCTCCTCTAAAAATGCTTCTTTTGGTCAGGAAGAAAGATGAAATACATATAATGATATCTAGTACCTGCCACATAAGGCCAGTAGGAAATGCTAAAGATTATCAAATTGTTATTTTTTGATGGCCCCTTACAGCACAACTAAAAAATATATATAAAAATCAAGGCCGGGTGCGGTGGCTCACGCCTGTAATCCCAGCACTTTGGGAGGCCGAAGCGGGTGGATCACGAGGTCGAGAGATCTAGACCATCCTGGTCAACATGGTGAAACCCCATCTCTACGAAAAATACAAAAAATTAGCTTGGCACGGTGGCACGTGCCTGTAATCCCAGCTACTCAGGAGGCTGAGGCAGGAGAATTGCCTGAACCCAGGAGGTGGAGGTTGCGGTGAGCCAAGATCGTGCCATTGCACTCCAGCCTGGGTAACAAGAGCGAAACTCCGTCTCAAAAAATAAAATAAAATAAAATAAAAATCAATACTACTAGCTTATTACAAATACATTTCAATTCACTCATGAATCTAACAGACTTCAATATGGGAAGACAAAATTTCAGTAACTTATTTAATGAAAAAATACTATCAATACAACTGTTTAAGAGCTTACAGAATTATCTCATCTCAATATTCTTTTGTGAAAGTAATAAATAGAAATCCATAGTTCAGAGATCCACTCAGAATAACTGATAATACATTTATAAGTTTTATACCATTTCTGTCGTGTGAATTTTCTAGAACAATATACATGAATTAATTTGCATCAGGCTTTCCCATATTATCTACATTTACATAGTACCTCCCTATTGGGAGTTTCAATACAAATCTGAAGTTTCACACATAAGGGAGTATTCACATGAGCATTTGTTAAAATTCAAAACATTGTTATTTCTCATTTTTATAGGATTTCTATCCAGTCTGCATTCTCACATATAAGTACATGGGTCAAACTGAAGGCTTTCTCACAATGCCTATATTCAAGAAGTTGCTTTCCAGTAAGAGTTTGTTCACGGTTTCCAAGTAAACTGAGACAAATAAAGGTTTTCCACATCCTTTACATTTATAGGGTTTTCCACATTCTTTACATTTTTAAGGTTATAAATTCTTTACGTTTACAGGGCATATGAAAATTCCTTACATTTCACATGCCTTCTCATGGTCCTCAAATAGTCATATGACCATTGAAGGCTTTTCCATACTGCCTACATTCACAGGGTTTTCTGTCCAGTATGAATGCTTCCCCATATTCACACCTAGAGAATTGAAGATATTCCCATGTCTTACATTTATTCATAGGGTTTCTCTGAAATATGAATAATTTCATGTCTTCAAAAGGAAATGGGGGCCGGGGGTGGTGGCTCATATCTTAATCCCAACACTTTGGGAAGACGAGGTGGGTGGATCGTCTGAGGTCAGGAGTTTGAGACCAGCCTGGCCAATGTGGCAAAACCCCATCTCTACTAAAAATACAAAAATCAGCTGGGCATGGTGGTTCACACCTGTAGTCCCAGCTACTCAGGAGGCTGAAGCAGGAGAATTGCCTGAACCCAGGAGGCAGAGGTTGCAGTAAGCTGAGATCACACTACTGCACTCCATCCAGGGCACCAGAGTGAGACTTCATCTCAACAACAACAAAAAAGGAAATGGGACAACTGAAAACTTTGCCGCATTGCTTACATACATAGGCTTACTCTCCGGTATGAACTCTTTCATGTACTCGAAAGGAACGGGAACACTTGAAGGCTTTACCACATTGTTGACATGCATAGGGTTTCTCACCAGTGTGAGTTCGTTCATGGATTCTAAAGGAACGCGAGCAACTGAAGGCTTTATCACACTGTTTACATTCATAAGGTTTCACTCCAGTGTGTGTCCTTTCATGCATTCGAACAGAACTAGAACAACTGAAGGCCTTACCACATTGTTTACACTCATAAGGTTTCTCTCCAGTGTGAGTCCTTTCATGTATTCGAATGGAACTGGAACAACTAAACGCCTTACCACACTGTTTACATTCATAGGGTTTCTCTCCAGTGTGAGTCCTTTCATGCATTCTAAAGGAACTGGAACAACTGAAGGCTTTACCGCACTGTTTACATTCATAGGGTTTCTCTCCAGTGTGAGTCCTTTCATGCATCCGAAAGGAACTGGAAAAACTAAAGGCTTTACCACACTGTTTACATTCATAGGGTTTCTCTCCAGTGTGAATTCTTTCATGCATGCGAAAAGAACTGGAACAACTGAAGGCTTTCCCACATTGCTTACATTCATAGGGTTTCTCTCCAGTGTGAGTCCTTTCATGTATTCGAACAGAACTGGAACAACTGAAGGCTTTACCACATTGTTTACATTCATGGGGTTTCTCTCCAGTGTGAGTCCTTTCATGCATTCTAAAGGAACTGGAACAACTGAAGGCTTTACCACACTGTTTACATTCATAGGGTTTCTCTCCAGTGTGAGTTCGTTCATGGATTTGAAAGGAACTAGGACAATCAAAGGCTTTCCCACATTCCTTACATTTATAAGGTCCATTTCCAGTGTGCATTATCATATGTCTTCGATAGCTTGGAAGAGAAATGAATGCTTTCCCACATTCTTTACAATCATAGGGTTTCTCTCCTGTATGAATTCTTTCATGTTTTCGAAAGGAACTAGGAAAACTGAAGGCTTTGCCACATTTTTTACATTTATAGGGTTTTTCTCCAGTGTGAATCCTTTCATGACTTCGAAAGGATGTGGGACAACTAAGAGCTTTACCACATTGCTTACATTGATAGGGTTTTTCCCCAGTGTGAGTCCTTTCATGTATTTGAAAAGTTTGGTAATATCTGAAAGCTTTTCCACATTGTTTACATTCATAGGGTTTCTCTCCAGAGTGAGTTCTTTCATGGTTTCTAAATGAACTGGGATGACTGAAAGTTTTCCCACATTCTTTACACTTATAGGGTTTCTCTCCTGTGTGCATTCTCATGTGTCCTCGAAAGGTTGTATGATAAATGAAGGCTTTCCCACATTCCTTACATTCATAAGGTTTTTCTCCAGTATGAGTTCTCTCATGTATTTGAAAGGAACTGGGCCAACTGAAAGCCTTGCCACACTGTTTACATTTATAGGGTTTCTCTCCAGTGTGAGTTCTTTCATGTATTCGAAATGAACTTCGAAAGCTGAATCTTTTCCCACATTCCTTACATTCATATGATTTCTCTCCATATTTTTGATACTCGTATGATCTATGTTCACTGTGAGATCTCATGTGCCTATTAAGAGATGAATGACACATATAGTCTTTTCCACACACACTGCATTCATATGGTTTTACTCTAGTAAAGGTTTTCCTGTTTGTTTTAGGATTTGGAGTCTGACTGATGGCTTCTCCAAGCTGATTACCTTCTTTCCTTTCACAGAGCCTCTCTACAGTATGACTTCTATAAAAAAATAAGCACACAATTAGGGTCTTTTTAAAAATAATAATTTTATAATCATGATTTCACGATCATTAATAGGTAGTAGAATTATACTTTTGCCATTTTCAGGGGAGTGTATGTAATTAATGCTCAGGAAGAGTACTTGACCAGAACTATTATCAAAACAGTAAAACTCATAATACAGAGTTATTTTTTTTTGAGACAAAGTCTAGCTCTGTTGCCCAGGCTGGAATGCAGTGGTACAATCTTGGCTCAATGAAACCTCCGTTCCTGGGTTCAAGCAATTTTTCTGCCTCAGCCTCATGAGTAGCTGAGATTACAGGTACCCACCACCATACCTGGCTAATTTTTAGGTTTTTAGTACAGAAGGGGTTTTGCCATGTTGGCCAGACTGTTCTTGAACTCCTGACCTCAGGTAATCCGCCCATCTCAGCCTCCCAAAGTGCTGAGATCACAGGCGTGACCCACCATGCCTAGCCAAAATTCATAATATATAGTTTCTTAATATTGTTTCCAGGTGAAGTATTTTCAAATACTGAACATCTGTGCCATTTTTAAGAGAACTTTCTTGGCAAAAATTTTCTAAAAATAAATAAATATAAAATGGGGCTTATTTCTTTCAATTACTCTTTTTTTTTTTTTGAGACAGAGTCTGGCTCTGTCGCCCAGGCTAGAGTGCAGTGGTGTGATCTCAGCTCACTACAACCTCTGCCTTCCAGGTTCAAGTGATTCTCCTACCCCAGTCTCCTGAGTAGCTGGGTTTACAGGCACCTATCATGGCGCCTGGCTGATTTTTGTATTTTTAGTAGAGACAGGGTTTCACCATCTTGGCCAGGCTGGTCTCGAACTCCTGACCTTGTGATCCATCCACCTTGGCCTCCCAAAGTGTTGGCATTACAGGCATGAGCCACCGGGCCCGGCTCAATTACTCATTTTTAAAACTTAATGACATGCTAAGATTCTCTCATGGAACAGTTTTTCTTTTGTAAGTACAACTCACCTTAGCTTTCTCCCCTGGTTTCTGTGATCTTCAATGTTCTTGTCCTCCCAGTTTTCCCCTAAAATGCAGGCCCAGAAAAAATCATTAAAACTATTAGAAATTAAATAAAAATTATTAGATTCTAAATCTATGATGAGCTGTTATCCTATATGATTTATTTACTAACGTATTCCCTTTCAACATTCTAAATCTTGGAACCTTGTTGATGAGCAAGAAACACTTGTTCTCTACTTGACTAAGTGAGGGAATAATTTCATTCTTACCTATAGAGGCCAAGTTAACAAAGGTTTCTTGCATCACATCTCTGTAGAGTTTCTTCTGAGAGGGACCCAGCAAAGCCCACTCCTCCTGGGTGAAGTTCACAGCCACATCCTCAAAGACCACTGAGTCCTGAAACATCTCACATGTATAGAGGAGGATGGGTGAGACTGACAGCACTGGGGATATATATACTCAATTTATAAAAAATCCATATTTAATTCCCTTTTCTCCATTTGTCCTGTAACTTTGTCATCAGAACTCAAATCTCTGTCCATGCTTACTTCTTCATAAATTTAACACTGCCATGAATACTTGGAAATTATTTCTACATTTTTACTGTGATTATTTCAAGTTTTATGCTCTCCAATGACAGGATACATAGCACCTTGGAGAAATGCTATTCAACAAAGCAAATATTTCCAGTTTAAAACCAACAATTCCTTGTAGGAAAAATACTTTTTATCTCCTGCCTTATTATGTACCATATCACTCAGCATCCCATGAAACATAGGGTAAAATCTGTATGAGATTTTAAAGAATAAGTATATGTTGAAGAATTGTATATTTTTTCTTCTATCCCCACTACTACACTGAGAAGCCAGAGCGCATGCACAACTTGTAACAACATCCTGCTGGCCATGCTGTCCTGAAGTACTGCAGACCATTAAATTAGTCAGATCCAACTGGTTGAGTGAAAATATTCTTTTAGTGAAATATTAATTTTAACTTGTGTAATATTTATCATGTACCCAGTATTTCTTTTTTCTCCCTGTCCCATGTTAGATGTTAGAGCACAGGCAGGAGGAAGAAGGCATGCCAACTTAGATCTTCATGAATATTAAATCTTAAAAAAATCTCTATACTCGGCCAGGCGCGGTGGCTCACGCCTGTAATCCCAGCACTTTGGGAGGCCGAGGCGGGTGGATCACGAGGTCAAGAGATCGAGACCATCCTGGTCAACATGGTGAAGCCCCGTCTCGACTAAAAATATAAAAAATTAGCTGGGCATGGTGGCACGTGCCTGTAATCCCAGCTACTCAGGAGGCTGAGGCAGGAGAATTGCCTGAACCCAGGAGGCGGAGGCTGCGGTGAGCCGAGATTGCGCCATTGCACTCCAGCCTGGGTAAGAAGAGCGAAACTCCGTCCCAAAAAAATAAAAAATAAAAAATCTCTATACTCATGGGATGCAACCACTGCTAGCACACATAGGATGGAGATGATAAGATGCTAGAACAGCTCTTTCCCTCGGAAACCTAACAGTGTAAGCTGAGACTTGCTGATGATGAGTAACAGGTTAACAGTTGGCAATCTGCAAGGGAGTTCACTGAAGTCCACAATGGTTTCATACTGAATTTGCTCATGATTACAAAATTCAAAGGGTTCAGCAGTGCTGTCCTCCAAAAGGATATGAAATTCCCTTTCTCCAATTTCAGGAAGAAGTGATTCTCAAACAGCTACTCTAGAGACCAGTCATCCTTCCAACTTCTCTCATTTTAAGCTCCCATGAGGGGTACAGTAGCATGAGATCCTGACACCAAAGCCCAGAAATCCCTCAGTGGCATAATTCCCCTAAATCTTGGCCTGTGAAAAAGATAATTAACCCACTGATGTCCACATGTAGGGGACAGAAAAAATGCTCCCAAAGAGCAATTCTGATACTAGAATTTACCTATTAGGTAAAGTAACAGAATATCCATACCTTTCTTGTTGGTGGGTCAAGGGAGTGAAATGAGCTTATCAGGTGAGCCCTAATTGCTCCTTGCTGTGTTTCTGCAGCATTTGTTCAAAGAAATTCCTACTACGTCGTGTGCAGAAGATAAGTAGTCTTACTTTACTAATGTTAACCTGAGACTACTTATCCTTAAATGCCTAAGGGTATATACCCAATTCATAAAAAGTTCACATATGATTCTGTGGTCTCCAAACATTTGTTGTCCTTCACCAGTAACTGGGAAGTGAGAATTTTGGAGGGACTCCACCAACCTAAGCGATAAGAGTGGCTTAGTGTGCCTAAATGGTTATGGAATCAACAGAGTACATACTGAACTGCTTTTTTCTTTCTTAGAGTCTGGACTTTTTCACATGCTAGGCAGAGGCTGTCAACTTGATCAGCCCCCGAAAGGCACTCTGAGCACTAGGTCTCTAAGGAGCTTCCCTAGCAGACAATATATCCTATCGCAACTTGTTGTTTGGGAAATTGAGCCCATTCCATATGATTACATGAGGAAAGAACATTTAAAGGCTTGCATCTGCTTTCCTCCACACCAACTATGACTAAATAAGACTAATGAAGGATACTTAATAATCCTAATAAAAAAATGTTATTGGGTAATGTAAAAACAGAATGAAATAATGTAAAAGTTGGTACATGCTCTTAGAACAAACTCAGTGTCGCCAAGATGTCACTGTTCCCAAATGTCATCTTTTTAAAATTCTACAAATCCCTAAAACAGCCTTATTAGGAGTCAAGAAAAACTGCTTTTCAAAACCTAAAAGGAATAATAAATGTCAAACAATGGGTAAAGTCTTTTGAAGAATAACAAAAATACTTGCCTAGTATGTATCAAGGATTTTCAAACTATAATACTCCAAACAGCAAGATACTAGCAGAGAGATAACTAGAACAAGGGAGGGGAAAAGAGTCTTCAATTAACTGACATTTATAAGGAAAATTGATTGATAGATCAAGCATTGTAGGGTAGTAGAGGAGATCACTAACACTTTAATACATGTAGAAGGGACAAACTGTTATCTAACTGGAAAAATGCATTGCATCAGCTCTATTCCATAGACAATAATCAATTTATATAGATTTAAATGTGAAGAATATAATTAAAACTCTCTTAAAAGTCACAGGTAATTTTTTTAAGACGGGGTCCTGCTCTGTTGCACAGGCTGGAGTGCAGTGGTGTGATCTCAGCTCACTGCAACCTCCGCCTCTTGGGTTCAAGCAACTCTCTTCCCTCAGCCTCCTGAGTAGCTGGGACTACAGGCGCGCGCCACTATGCCCGGCTAATTTTTTGTATTTTTAGTAGAGAGGAGCTTTCACCATGTTAGCCAGGATGGTCTCAATCTTCTGACCTAATTATCTGCCCACCTCAGCCTCCCAAAGTGCTGGGACTGCAGGCGTGAGCCACCATGCCTGGCTGCAAATTTTTTTTAATGCAAAAATAGGGAGAATTTTCTCATATAAGAGTAAGCCATGAAGGATGAGACTGAAAAGTTCAAATATACTAAAATCAAGAAAGTTAAAGAGACCATAAAGCGAGAGAAGTATCTGGCATACAAGCAATATAAATGAATCAGTATGCTGAGGAAAAATAAATGAACAGTCAGCCATCGTGGCTCACACCTGTAGTCCCTGCTACTCAAGAGGCTAAGGCAGGAGGATTATGTGAACCCAGGAGTTAGACGATGCAATGAGCTCTCATTGCACCACTGCACGTCAGCCTGGGTAACAGAGTGAGACACTGTCAATAAGTAAATAAAATAGCCAAATAAATAAAAAGTGAACACATGATTTAAAAATGGGAAAATAATGAGAACATATTTAACAGAGGATAACACATCATATATGAGAAAAGGTCTGGCTGGGCACAGTGGCTCACGCTTGTAATCCCAGAACTCTGGGAGGCCGGAGTGGGCAAATCACTTGAGGTGAGAAGTTTGAGATCAGCCTGGCCAAGATGGCAAACCCTGTCTCTACAAAAATTAGCCAGGTGTGGTGGCACGGGCCTGTAATCCCAGCTACTCAGGTGGCCGAGACACGAGAACTGCTTGAGCCTGGGAGATGGAGGTCGCAGTGAGCCAAGATCATGCCACTACATTCCAGCCCTGGGTGACAGAGTGAGACTCTGTCTCAAAAAAAAAAAAAAAAAAAAAAAAAACAGGAAAAGGTCCATCTCTCTCCTTGATATAGCCAAATGAAATATATCAAATAAATTGATCCAATTTCTTACATATTAGAAGGACAAAAATCAGTCAATTGGACACTCCCAAGTATCGGTGACCACTGCTAATAAAGAAATAGTTACATGCGAATGGAAGGTGAATTGATATACTCCACTGCTATTTCCTGTAAATTTGAACTTGACCATAATCTACAGCACAGTGATTTTTCTCCAACATCCAGAAAAGTTATCGTATATTTGTACTTAGAGACAGATACCAAAATGAAAGGATAGGTATTTTTCACAAGAGTAAAAAATCAACTTGAAAAAAGCCCAACCACCACCATCATTGGACTGGATAAAATTGGATTTCTTCAGCCTCAGTCACTATCGTGTGAAACTCAGAGGCAAAGGAACCACTCAAAAACCTTTTCATAGTTTAAAAGCATGAAACATTTCAGAAGGTATCAGTTATATGATATTCTTTAAGCAAGAAAAATGTAAATAGTCATGAATGAAAATATATCTTTTTGCGAAAAAACCTTTTCATTGTTAATTCCATTAATATTCATTTATTCAGAGTTCAAATAAGGCTCAACTAAAAGAATATCACATAGTGAAAAAGAATAAAAGATAAAGGTATAAAGAATTATCAAATAATCAAGACTGTGGCCATCTATGAAGCAGAATGGAGATAAGCCAGAGGAAACCATCAAGAGACTAATGACTGACCGAGGCTCACCTATCAATTTATATTTTAAAATCATTTATTGAGGTAATGATTGACATAAAAAGCTGTACATATTTAATGTATACAACTTAATGAGTTTGGGGTAAGTATACACCTGTGAAACCATCAGTATCATAAAAACATAGACATATCCATCACAAAGGTTTCTTTCCCCTTCATTATTATTACTATTTGTGTGTCTCACTATGCATTAAGAATACAACATAATATCTATTTTAGAAATTTTAGGGCCAGGCACAGTGGCTCACATCCCAGCACTTTGGGAAGCCAAGGTGAGAGGATCACTTGATACCAGGAGTTCATGACCAGCATAGGCAACATAGTGAGACCACATCTCTAGAAAAAAATGTAAAAATCTTAGCTGGGTGTGGTGGCATTCACCTGTAGTCCCAGCTCCTCAAGAGGCTGGGACAGGAGGATTGCTTGAGCCTAGGAGTTTGAGGCTGCAGTGAACCATGATTGCACTACTGCACTCCAGCCTGGGTAACAGAGCAAGA